ATATGCGACTAATCTTACTCCATGGCTTATGGACTATTTTCATTTTAAGAGGTAACTTCATCCACATCCCAGAGTGGAAGGAATTTCTCTCTCTCTCTCTCTCTCTCTCTGGGACTAAGGTTCCCGCTCCTTTCAGCCAAGATCTACCAATTGTTGGGACAATCTTTGTAATGCCAAGGGTAGAGCCCCCAGGCACATTCTCCTACTTCTGAGTGCAAAAGTTGCATGTCAGTCAGGGAAGAGTCCTAAGAGCCTTCAAGATTCCTTTGAGGACCAGCCTTTTGCATTGTCTGAGGATCTCAGTGTTCTGTGCCCTCTCATGTCACCTAGGTGTGGATGCCTTCACATTCTGACTTCCCATGGATATGATTCTATTGACCAAAACACATTTGGGGTACATCTAGTTTCAGCCCGTTCCCTCGGTATCTGCACACAGCTGGAACCAGACTTGGCACCTGGGCCAGGGCAGTCCCATCATTTATTTTGCAAGTCGTATTAAGTCAACTTTACAAGAAGAGGTACTGCATACTGAAGTTGGGGAACCAGTTCCACACTCTTAGCCAGGAAGCATACAGCAGGGACATTTCAATTCTAAGAACATTTCAGTATCCCTCAGAACCCTTTGTAAGCATGTTTGTCAATATAAGGATGTGGGGATAATTGAGTCAGATCATGTCCCGTGGAATGTAGTATATGAAGAGACCTGCTAGCTGGCTCCTGACAACCTTTGGTCAAGTGCCTTGTACATTTAAGCACCTGGAACACACAGCCAGCTGAGAATACAGTGCTGCCTTGTCTCCCAACAGCAGCCTTGTAAGTGGTCTTCAGCATGTTTTGTCATTGGGACTGTTATTTTGAAACACTATGCCCTCTTACCATGAGATTCAGTTCTGGAATGAACTCTACTTTCTGAGATAGGTTCGTCCCTTGGATGTAGGTTTTCAGCCCCTTCTTTATAATTGTTCACTGTGACCAGAAGGAGCCTAGGTTTGGTCATTATGGGGACCGACAGGGAGGCTTGCTGAGATGGCATTCCCCAGTTCTTTAATGCATAGCCATAACCTAGTGCTAGCTTTATGCTTATTGCAAAGTTTTAAACTCAGATGCTAAGGCAAACCATCCATGCAGGTGTTGTAAACAAGTGGAGGGGTCAGGTAGAGGATAATAGGGAGTGGTAGAGTATATGGTGAAGTGGAGAACACATGCCCTGTCTAAATTGAGTGGCCACCATGTTGCTCTAGCTGATTTGCACTATGCAGAAATAGCTGGCCCAGCATTGCCAGAACTCTTAGATTTTCAAGGGAAGCTACAAATACAGAAACTTTAAATGTGAAATCTCTCAAGTTTTAAATGTTGGCAACTAAGTAAAAAATTTTAAAAAGAAATTGTGCTGAAAAAAGACACATCCTAGAGCCACATATGGCCTATAGGTTAGGTTTGCAACCTCAGAATAAAAGAAGAGCTATGAGAAATTTAAGCAATTTTAAGAGACGTTTAAGCAAGCTAAGTCATGCCCAGCAAGACTACACATTTTAGTGTCACCTACCTGGGTCATTGCCACTAGCCTTCTACTGAATCAAATGGCAGGAGAAGAAAGAAATTGGATAGAAACAACAGAGTAGCCACATTAGGAGGCAAAGTAGAGAACAAAGTAACCATTGTCCTAACTTCCAGGGATCGCTAGGCCTCCTTGGTCACCTTCTCTCCATGACTTTGGAGAGGCCACCACACAAGCAGGACATGAAACAAGAGATTTCTATCTGTGAGGGAGATTTTCTTGACCATAATACACTCTTTTTTGACACTTCTTGTTCATGTAGTGGTCTAGAGGAGGGTGCTGGGGAGAGTTCTTCCCTGCACCATCCTTGGCTTCCCAGGGGTATTCTCAAATATTCCATCCTCTTGCTGTGGGTGTGACTATATTCTGGATAATTGCTCCTCTCTCCAAACTCATTAGCATCTCTCTTTCATCAGACTTCCTTTTCATCCTTCCTAAGCTGAACTCCCAAAAGTATCATCAAAATGAAGGAGTCAATGTGTAGATGGAGTTTGGGTTTCCTTTCTTGGAAGGTCCCAATGCACACAAAGTGTTACTGTAAGAGTGGTGGGTGTGGCAGGGCAGAAAATGAAGCAGCCTAGAGAAAGGTTAGACCAAGCACCTGCTGAAGGGGGGCAAAAGTAGGCATGGGCATGCTCATCTTCCTCGCTAGGGAAGCTGTGAGTGAGGAAAGAGCATTCTAGCCCTCCATCGGGCCTTGCAGAGGGAGCTGTATATAAAGCCCCACTTGCCCTGGAGAATGTCCCCACCACTGATTGCTGCCTTGACTTCCATGTCAGCCTCTTGTTCTTGATATAGATTTTCAACAAAGGGAAGCCATATTGCAAAGTAGTTAATTTTAAGGACTTTGGGGTTATGAAGAGCTTGGTTCAAAATCAGACTCTGCCACAAAGTGAACTTGGTTGGTTTGTGTTTTATTTGTATTTATTTATTTTTTAAGATTTTATTTATTTATTCATGAGAGACACAGAGAACCCAGAGAGAGGCAGAGACACAGGCAGAGGGAGAAGCAGGCTCCGGTGCAGGGAGCCTGACGTGGGACTCGATCCTGGGTCTCTAGGATCACGGCCTGGGCTGAAGGCAGCACTAAAATGCTGAGCCAGCCAGGCTGCTTGGTTTGTTTGTGTTTTAAAATATATTATAGGGCCTTAGTTTCTCCACATTTAAAATAGGGTTAATAATCGCAGTTTTTTAAAGATACTGGGGGATACTGGATTAGCTGTAGGCAGTGCCTGGTACTATCCCTACCATACGTGTTGATCCTGGAATTCCAGGGGGCTCAGCGATGCCTCTGATGGTAGGACTCTTACAGCGGGACATTGGTTGGGGGATCCCTTCTTCAGTCTGTGCCTTCCTACAGCATAGTTCAAAACATCTCACCTCTTCTTCCTCTTCGGGAAAGCTGGGGAGACTGTGGATAGAATGCCCCCCCAGCTGGGGTGGGGTGCAGAGTGGGCTCCTCACCCTCACATCTGTCCTGATGTCCCCTCCTACTCTTACTTCCTGGACAAGGATCTGAATTACCCTGTGTCGCTGGGTCCCTGTTCAGGCACCCCTGACCTCAGCACCAGGACTCCTGTGTATTTCAACCTACTCCTGAGTCTAAAGTGCTTTTCTCACAGCCGATACCATGTAAGTGCTAAGCACTAGTGTGATGTAGCAACTTGAAGATGACAAACGAATACATTTGAAGAGGAAATGTTGGAAAATAATCCAATAGAGCTCCATTTGGTATTGGGCCTTTTATCAAGGCCATAACCTAAACCACTTTATGGAGTTAGGTAATAAAATTATCATGTCAGATAACAAAAGGAGGAAGCAGGGACAGAATGGGAAGCCTTGAGAATCTGAAGCTGCATGAGGAGTGTGTAGGCAGGAGATGCAGGCACGTTCTCCCCAGTGGATGCAGGAAAGCTGGAGGCGCTAGACTCCCAAGGCCAGAGCATGCAGTGGAGCCGAGCTGAGACCCCAGAGAGGGGTGGGTGATTGGGTTCTGCAAGGCTGACGGTCTAGCCCCCTTTTGTGTCGCACGCCATCAGAGCTGAGCCTTTTCTACTCCAATGAATCTTGAAGGCCTTGCTTTTTGCAGGTTGAACCTGCTTTCAGCCCAGTGGGATTAGGCTCCAGTGCTTTTACCCAGTCCTGTGGGTGCTCAGTGCCCCTTCTTCCCCAGCCTTCCTTCCCAGCAACCCTCACTTCCCAAAATGATTCCAGAGTCTCTGGCTTACTGCTCAGGAAACTATACCTAGACAGTCCCTGCAGACCAGGCTCTGTTCTGAGTCACAGAGGACCTGCAGCGAACTCTATGCTGCATGGCTTTGGGAGAGCTGTCACCAGATGGAGGAAGAGGTTAGACATAGAGGTCTTGGGGTGTGGTGGGCGAAGCCTTCTTTGGAGTGGGCTTGCCCCTCCTCATTCTTCCTTCCACCCATCTTTGCCTTTCCTGGGTCAGTGTCCACGATGGTCCTGGTCTCCCCTGCCCTCCCCCAAGCAGATGCCTTTTCCTTCCTGTTCCAGGGTTGTTCTGAGCAATAAGGGGGGAGGAATGGAGGATCTTGGAGCAGTGCCTCCTATGCTATCAGGATTCAGCACTTAGAATCTTGGAAAGCCTCCACCTGGGAAAGAGTTCCAGAGAAAACAAACTTCAGATCCCGGCTAATATGGGAAAAGGCTCATGTTCACGAAGGCAGCTTCAGGGACCTTGGCAGAGCCTTAAGCAGGCTTGGCCCCTGCCTTTAATGGATCCGACATGGAGCCTTCCAGGGCCCATGATGCTGCATGGCCTCCAAAGGAGACTTCACTCTCAAGCTGTAATGATACACTTTTTGTAGGATTTTTAGTCCTTGGGTCTAGTGAACCAACAGCCTTGGTTCCAACTGTTTATGCCCTAACGAAGGCAAGAAATATTTTAAGGGACCAAACTCAAAACTATCACCGCCCCCCTCCCCATCCCCTCCTCATCCCCTCTTATCAAGTTGTTTTCCTCTTGGAGATTAGCTGAATTTTTTTCTGAGGGAGAGAAGAGGCCAGAAAGAAGGTCTTGGGACCTGCAGGGTCATCACCCAAGTGATAAGAATCATCCTTCTGGCCCTGGGAATGGCATGCAGACTAGCAGCGATGGGCACAGGGTCAGGGTGCTGTGGCCCAAGAAGGGAGATGGGAGGCAAACATGCTAGGGAAGGGTTGGACAGAGTTCATGATGATGACAAGTCTTTCCTGACTCCCTGGTTACAGTTTTTTAATGCCGCTGTGTGATACTCCGAGGACAGCGTGTCTGGATCTTATGCATAAAATAAAACAGGTGGCCCTACAGGTAAAGCAGGAGTAGGGAACACCTGGGCTTCCGTTTCTGGCATTGTGCACGTGAAAATGACGTCCCCTGTTGTTGCACTTGGGGCTCAATACTGACCATTAACTCCCCCGTGTCTGCCTCTTCTGCCAGGGGTCTTTTCAAACCTAGACAATCATGGGATATTAAACTTGAAGGATAATAGAGATCATCTAGTCTCATCAACTCACTATATATATGAGGAACCTGAGGTCCAGAGTGGGGAAGTGTCTTACCCAAGGTCACATGGTGAGTTACCTCCTTTGACGTCTTTGTATTCAGTACAGACCCCTCCCCCAACTGATTTGCTGAAGAGTACTAAGACCTCATGGAGTCTCCATATGTCCCAGAGGACTGGGGGATGACTAGGTGCCCAGTGTGGGATTGCTACTAAAATCCCATAGGTCAGAGGAGTCTTCCAGGGAGGACATGTCATAGGGCCAAGGTAAGGGGTGTGGGAGAGGGACTGTAGCCCAGAGAGAAACAGTGAAGTCACACACCTTCTAGGCAGGCTGCCCAGACCAGTGGCCTGCACCCCTTTCACCTCAGAACCAAGAGAGCCCTCATCCTGGGCTAACACCACATCTTATCCTGAAGCTCAACATGTCATAGACAAGGAAGTTTCTTTCCCTCTGTCCTCTCAAACCTGACCCCGCTCCCTCTAGATCAGAGAGCTCCCAATGCCCAGATTACTCAACTGTATTTTGAACATCATGTCATCTGGGAATGAGGAGGGAGAGTCTCAATGCAACCAACTCAGTCTCTTCCCATCGTAGCTCCAACATCCAGCTGCCCATTGTGACCTTCACATGCCTGCACATGGCTTTCATGAGAAGATAGGCTTGCTCCTGTCTTGTCCGCACACATCACATCAACAAACATACACACTGTACAGACATTATTTTACAGGCACTCTTAAAAATCTGGGGTTGATTGAGAAACCTCCATCTAGAGGTTTGATCAGGAACACCCATGTCTCTGGACACTCTGGACATCCTGAGTCATTCAGGCCATGACCATGTAGCCAGACAGGAGCTACCAGTGTCATTCCTCCAGAACACTGCCATCCCCTCTAAGACTTGGAATTATGATAAGGCCAAAAGAGCAGCTGTTATTTCCTAAACTTGCCATGGAGCTGGTGAAATGAAAACAAAAAGTCCACAAGAAAGAGCTGGCAGGCTTGGAAGAATAGCGCCCCTACCCCCAGGGATGGTAGTCTATAGGATTCCAGCTCCTAGGATTAGAAGTGGCCCTTAACAATGCAAGTCCTGAGGAAGCGTTCCCTTCCACCTCTCTGCCCCATCAGTGACCGTAGTGGTGATGCCCCTTTCCCATCTACCTGTCCACTCATCCTCAGGGGATCCTCCCCAGTAGATGAGGCTGCTCCTGCTCCTCCGTGACAACCCAAGGCCAAGCCCCACATAGTTTGTTCATTTCCCTTCCTCTCGGTTCAGTGGAGGCTGCAGCAGTATGGAGTGTTTCCAGTTTCTCTGACCATGCTTGGTTTTAAGTTAATCCCCTCCTCCTGTCCTTCCCTTTTGCTGACAATTCATTTGGCAGTTTCCAATATATATATGTATCCATATCTCTAACCCTTCCCCTCCCCACCCCCCCTTCAAGCTCCCTCTCTGTTTCCCCTCTTAGTTTTGGTCTTCTTTGGGGGTTTTGGTTTTTACTTTATTTTGCTTTTTTCTGTTTTTCTGTTTTTTTGTTTTTGTTTTTTATAGGTTTCAGAGAAATTATGTTGAATCCAATAAGCCTTCCCGGACATTCCAAGCCTCTTAACCATGGCATCTATGTTGAGGATGTCAGTGTTTATTTCAGCAAAGGACGTCATGGCTTTTAAAAACTCCTTTTAAGACTCCCTGTTTTGATGTCACCTTGGTAGGCTGGGCCCTCTGAGAGGTGGGAAGCTCTAGGCGCTGTTCTCTTTGGATCCGGGGATGCTAAGTAGAAACTGCATGAGCCACCGGTGCCCCCTGCACCCTTTAACACCACCAAGACGGGGGTCCTCCCCCATCCGTCACCGGCAGGGTTGTCCTTCCCCTCAGACATCACTGTGCTCCTTTTACCCCCTGGCCTCCGAGGCAGCTCCTGCCGCCATCTTTAGAGCCAATAAAGAGAATTAAAAACCTGTGCACCAAGAACCATCTTTTAAACACACTCTAGCCATTCTCTTGCTTTACAAAAACAACCCAACCACCACGAGAAAGCCTGACGAAGTCCAGCCGTGCTCCGGCCTCGCTAACCCTGCTTGGAAGTGTGGGGTCTCCCTGGCTCTCCCTAGGATATCAGGCTATATATCCTCTTAGCGATCTCATCGCCCTGCAACCTCCAGTGGGGAAGAGCGGCTAAGCAGAGGTGGAGACCACGTGGTGAGAGAGGGGGAGCCAGGCCCAAGTGTTGGCACAAGATTAGGTCTCAGAGGAAAGAATGGAAACCAATCATTTTATATATATCTATATATATATTTATATAGATAGATAGATAGATACATTTGTGTATCTATCTATCTATCTATATATATATATATATATTTTTTTTTTTTTTTTGGTGGAGAAAACCATACTTTTTTGGGACACATTTTTCCCCCTTCCTTCCTCTTCTCTGGAATGGCTCACAGTGAGTGTGGTATTACAAAACTCCTTGGCCCCTACATCTGCAGTCCTGACGAGCTTTTGCTACAGGAGGTCTTGCCCGTGAATTGACCGTCCTCCTAGGACCACAAGGGACCCAGGGAGTCAGGGGCCAAGACCCTTCCTGCTAGTCCCTGGCCCCAGGATTGGCTCTCTACCCCCACTTTCATTTACTCTTGACTCTGAGAACTTTTGGAACCCAATGGAATCACCATTTCAAGGCCAAGATGAGCTGAAGGGGAAGAGAAGGAAAAATGGCCTCCTCCAGCCCCTCTCATGGCACCAGTGGAAGTGTCATCCTGTTCTCTGGTCAATATATGTGTTTACTTTGCTTGCTTTGACTCATGCCTTACTCCATGGCCACCCTCTCCCAAAGAGGGGGTTTATTCCTCCCATTTTCAGCTTGATCCACGGGGGAGAGAGAAGGAGATGGCTTTGCCCTGCTTCGATAGGAAAGGCACAGCCGTAGGGCCCGAACCTGTCCCATATTTGCTGCCCTGTTGGCCAAATGGACTTCGGGCTGGGCCCAGCCACTCCCACCTGTGTTACCTCCATTGTAAGAGCTGTCCCTTGATGATGGAGAGCATGAAGCAGGGGGTCTCCCATGGGGAGCTCTTAGGACAGACCCACTAGGTTTGGGGTGGTGACACACAGCAAGAGATAGTAGATTCTCTGGCTTCGGCAAATTGACATGGGAATCAAACTTCCCACTGAACGTTTCCTTCCTGGGTCCTGTGGATGGTGTTCTTTGTGCTAAGTTCCCATTCTGATTCTGCAGGTGCCTCCCTGGGATTTAAAATCACGAAGCTTTCCAAGCTCTTGGCCCGTTTCTGGGATGACCTCCCAGACACTGTAGTGTCCAGACTATGATGCGGGGGTTCAGTTTTTCTCCAGGGCCTCGAGCTGTGTGTGTTTCTAGCCCCTGCCAACTTCCTGCCATCCTGCTCCCCATTGCTTCGTGTCAGGCTGTCCCCATTGTGTCCTGCTGACCCTTTGGGTCGGGGCCTCCTCCCGAGTGTGGCTTTAAAGGAGTAAGCTTGAGGATGATGTTTTTTAATTATTGTAAATCATTACCTCATTTCCAGCCTGCCAGGCTCCATCCATCCCAGCATCTTTTATTCTGTCATTTTCTCACCTTGTACTATGACAATGGGGCGTTGTATTTCCACAGAGACTTATAGGAGTGTTCAGTGTATAGTTTCTTAATAAACACTTTATTTTCTAATGAAATGACTGCATCAGACCTCTTATTTGGCAATTTTGCAAAGAATATTGAAGATACAGAAATTCCCACATTTCTCCTCTGCCTCCCCTCCCCATTTTTACTGATCCTCTTTTAAAGACGTTTCTTAGTTCAATCCTTGTTTGCAAAAGTGTTTACAATCTGTTGCATTAGTTGCTTTCATTGAGACTCCTCCAGTTAGGTCAAATCCATCTAGTGAAGTGTTTTCCTCATTCTGTTGAGGAAGACTCAGAGGCACAGAGAGGCTGAATGGTTCACCCAGGGTCACACAGCACAAGAGGCAGAAGCAAGATTCAAACCTGACTCATCCAGACACCACTCAGGCCACTGAGACCCTCACCTCCTTGGTGACTCAGGGACTCTCCTGTTGTCAGCAGCCGAGGCTTACAATGATCCTTTCTTCAGAGCTGATATGTAAGAGGTTTGGGAGTAGAACTGAAAGATTCTTGCCCCAGCAAGTCACTAGGACTCTCCCTCAGATGGAGCAGTTTCATTCTTTCCCTGGATCTTGAGGACATGACCTTACCCAGAGGAAGACAGGGCTATGGGCTTATAAGCTAGTCTGCTGATCACTCAGGGGCGCCCCATCCACACACCCATATACACACACTCCGGTGGACCAGACTCTCCACCGGGGTCTCCTGTGGGCTGCCCAGAGTGGTAGGCAGTTGTAGGGTCCTACTGAGAGATGAGGCCTAAGTGAGCTGGGTGTGGCCATCTGCCCTGCGTTCCCAGCCCTGACACAGCTGGAAGGGTTGCCATGCCTCTAACTTAGAACATCTTCCTTTGAGGAGGAGGGGACTCTGTACACAGGCTATCTGGAGCAGGAGTCAAGGGCAGGGGAAGAGTGAGGAAGATTTCCTGGGTTGAACTGGACCTTTCACTGGGCCTCCACAGGCTTTGTGAGAACTTGGCTTACTTAGGTAACAGAGCAAGGTGGGTGAGCTCAAAGTGGGAGTTCAACAGGGAACTGGTCAGGCTAGGGTGGTGCTTTTTTTCCTGACCTCCATTGACTTAATCTCTTATTTAAATTGAGTTTGAGCCCCCCTCCCTCACAACCTCACCCCAAATGGAAGTTCCTCTTCTCTAGAGTGGCCTGGATAGGGCATTACCCCAGCTCTCCATTCTCCTATTTTCTCTGGTTCCGGGGCTGGAATTGGAGTGCCCTTTGGAACCATGGGGAGAACTTTCATTTTTAGGTAAGAGATTTGAGCTTTGTTATATTCCAATGCATGAAACCTCCAATGCAGGGGTGGAGGGGAGATGAGCACCCAGCTCAGAGCAAGGGCCCCACACCAGCCCTGGGAAGGGTGTGCTATTCCAACATAGGAAGTGGCAACAGGAAAGATGGGGGTATGGGGGTTTGGGGGCAAGGAAGGGGACTAGAGCTTGTGCAGTGGCTTCTATTTTGTCTGTGAAGTGAGATCTAGGGAGAGCTGAGCAAGTCTGAAGTGCAGCGGAGGAGACATTGGCAGAGGGCAGGGAAGCACAGGGAGTTGTCAGGCGGATCAAGGACCGGCTGAGCAGGGTTTAGTGTCCAGGACTCTGTTTTCCATGTTTCCTGCCAGACCCTAAAGTGCCAGGCATTTATCCCAGTGTTAGAGCCTCTGGGCCCATTAGAGCCAGAGGGGGCAGGCCCGGAGAGCAGACTCCACCCAGAAGGATGCTGGCCGGGCCTGGCTTCGCGCAGGGCAGCTCGGGGCACCAGCAACACCTCCTGAGTTTGGAATGTCACCCACAGGACTTCCCAGTGGTTTTCCGGGACTCCAGCTTGTACTGTGGTCCTGCAGCTCAGATCCACAGCTGATGCAGGCCATGAATCTGGTGCTCTTGCCAGGTGCCTCTCTGGATCTCAATTCTAGAGGGGGACATTGGGGAGGACTGGTTCTGAATGAACCCTATTCTTGGGAGCCTGGAGAGCGGGAAACTCACTCTGTGAAAGGAGAAGACAGAGGTAGGACCTTCCAGGGACATGCTCCGGAGAGGACTGGAGGCTTTGACGAGGGTTACACGGCCAGATCCCAGACTGGTTACCAAGCGCCGAAGAATGGGCCCTGCCTGCAGAACGTTAACAGCGATCACTAGGTCACTTACACAGATCTTCTCAAAGCCAAGCACATTTTACCCAGAAGGAAGCTGAGACCCCGAAAGATCAGTGGCTGGCCCCGGTTTTCACAGCTTGTGACAATCAGAAGCAGGGCTGGCAGGAGGGGTCCCTGACTACAGTGTTCCTCCCCGGCTGCTCTGCTGCCACATGGAGCAGTCAGGCTTCTGCTTCTGAAAGGCTGCAGTCCTGGGGGCTGCACAGCCACAGTCTTCCCCTACCCCTCCCACACTGAACAAGTCTCTTGGGGGCTCTTTGAGGCTACATGCACTCCTCAGACAGGGTGCATTTTTTTTTTTCAAGATTTGATTTATTTATTCATGAGAGACCGACAGACAGGCAGAAACACAGGCAGAGGGAGAAGCAGGCTCCATGCGGGGAGCCCAATGTGGGACTCGATCCCAGGACCCCGGGATCTTGCCCTGAGCCAGAGGCAGATGCTCAACCACTGAGCCACCCAGGTGCCCCCAAGCAGGGTGCTTTTTAAAGACTCCGCGGAAAAGAATGTCTACAGTATTTTTTTCTTCACTCATTCTAGCATTTTGTGACCCCATACTCCCGAAGGTATGGTTGGTCTTAGGTCTAAGATGAATTCCCAGCTTGAAGTCAGTGAGATTGCCAAGCAGACAATGGTGGGAGGGCTTGATGTTGGGGAGGGCTTGTTGGGGGAGACGCCTGATCCTCAGGTGGGTGATGCTGCCCAGATCTCGGGCAAGTGTGAGCAGCTTAAGACAGGAAGGTGGTGGAAGGAAGGAAGATCCTTACCTGACTCACCCCCATTCGAACTTTTTGTCCCATCTGAAAGACCTCCCGGTGTGTCAAAGATCAGCCATGTGCTTCTCACCCAGCAAAAGAACAGATGCTAAGTATGTGCAGTGTGGAAACCAAGAAGCTGGCCTCTGGGCCACCCTGGCTCTTCCCCTCCTGTGTGGGAATTCCTTCTGCAGCCAGGCTTCCAGCAGCCGTGTCCTCACCTCCACCACCCAGCCACCCAGAGTGATTGGGCTGGGACGCCTCTCCTGGCAGGGCCCAGATCCTGCAGGTCAAGCCCAGGCATGAGCAGAGGCCGCTGTATCTCAGACACAGCAGTGCAGGGCAGGAGTGGGTTCGATGCCACAGAGACAGGACAGGAGCTGGGACAGCAGTGCAGGAGGGCTTTGTTGCTGTGCAGCTTTCTGAGCCATGCCTCACATGGATTGGGCAGAGGGCCTTCGCCCTTCAGTGTTCAGGGACTCTGAGCTCTGGCTAGACTCCTGCATTGCTGCCACAGTAGTTCTAGAAGGGAGAGAGAAATGAGGAGAGGGGGACCGAGGAGGTGGGGGCTGGCGATGATGCTGGCTGCTCTGGGGCTCCTCTGGGAAGGACAGGAACAGAGGGAAACTCTTGAGTGTGACAGTGGAGGTGGTGATAGGGCAGTGAGGAGCCCCGGAATGGATGGGAGCCTGGTTTGCAGATTGTCCAGGAGACCTGGGGCTCACGCCCTGCCATCTCCCAGCTCCGTGGCACCCTTCACGACCCCCTCTTCCGTGGGGTTGGTGTGGGCAAAGCTGTTGCAGACTTCAGTTGCCTTGAGTGGTTCTGATCTTGCGCTTTGCCATTAGAAATCCCATGACCATCCCTGCACTTCCCACCTTCCCGAAAACCCTCACCTGGGCCTGACAGTGTCACTCTCTGAGCTAAGTAGGATGCCTTGCTCAACCCTACCTGAACCCAAAAATGAATTGAAAGAGATGTGCTGGTGAGAGAGGGGTCCCTCATCTGAGTTTTGGGGGAGTGGTTCAAGAATTCCATCAGGATTCTAAGATCCATTTGGGTAGGATTTTAATCCCAGCTCCTCCTCTCCGTGGGTGACACTTGCATAAAGTAAAATCTCCTCCGCTTGCTCGGGGAGGTTTCTGCATGGAGAGGAGGTCTATGGCCTCTTTGTAGCTTTGGCCCTGGCTGCCAGGACACTTCCCCTCCCGTCACAAGATACCAGGGTGCATGCCTCAGAGGGCTAGATCTTTCCCCACCATGCTGGGCTTGCAGGGGGCTGGGAGTCTGTGGTTCGAGTGTTCTGTGTGCTCCAGGGTGGGGGACAGTGAGAACGGAGGAGAAGGAGGAAGTATTGGCCTGGCCTTGGACAAGACCTTGCTGGCTCCCCTGAAAGCAGAACAAGCAGGTAGAGGATCTCTGAAAAGCACAGATCCTGCAGGGAGTAGAGGATTCTGCTGGTCCTGATTCTGTGTCAAAGGCCTCCAGCCCCAGGCAAGACCCAGTCCATGTGGGCCCACTTTGGGAGAGAATCTGCAACTATCTGGGATAAAGGGGAGAAGCATGATTACCAAATTCTCAGAGAAGAGCCAGAGCTGTAGAGAGGCTGAGGGCTTTGATGACACTTCCCAAGCTGAGGAAGGAGACACACAAACTTCCTGCACAGCTCTGGGCTTCCAGGGTCATGGTTTTTCCCACAGCCCTCTGCAAGCAGTGGCTGCCGGAGGCCTCTCTAATGTAGAGGAATCTGACTTTGATTTGGCTAAGGGTGGAGAGGGAGCACATGGCATCACAGCAACACGGGAGCTTGGCTTTTTGAGAGGCAGAGATGCTGAGCCATACCCCCATCCTCGCGCGTCCCGTCAGAGCAGTATCCTGTGATTACTGAGGGTTTGGAGGGATGGTCAACACTCCCCACTCGGCAATGGAGAGGGTTCGAAGACCAAGGAGCCAGCCTGCCAAAGGTATGAGTTCCAGGATCGTGCTTTCTGGTTTGTGGCTTCATCAAAGTTTGGGAGGGCAGGGCACCATGTCAGCTCAGATAACACTCCCGCCAAGCCTGACTCTGGTAAGTAACGCCGGAGGCCTTGGTGGCTAATAGTGACAACCAGCTTGTCTTCATGACTCTCT